AGTGTTTAACCAGGAATTAAGTTGTCAAGAGTTATTTTCACCTCAAATGATCTTTGTGGAAATGAAGGTATGTTCATTTCGGTCTCAGTGATTTAAAAATAACTGATTTCTCCACAATTGCTTGTTTCAAACAAAGATGCACAAATATGATAAACCATTAAACAAGACCCATTCACTGTAAAGCCAAAAATATTTGGTCATTCAAACACATCAACAATAAAATGCATACCCTGAGCCATGTCTACAAATATTATGAATTGGGATTTTGGTCACTCCTATTATAACAAAAACTATAGTATCTATGCTGGATGTTATGTCAATTTTAAAAAGCTAATACATGTTTTGACATAATACTTTTTTCATACCAATTAATTTCAATAATTTAGGCCAGTATTTATAACAGGATACAGTGAAAGAAGAACAAACGCTGGACCAGTCAGAAATGGGTCCTGAGGAATTGCATTAATGAAAGCTAAAATACCAAGTCAAGTTCATAGTTAATTTGAGGACTATCAACAAATTTCCACAAGCCTTATTTTAATACTTTGTTTGCACTGAAAATTGGCTTCCCAAGCTCTGGGATCACTAAGAGGACACATCATAAATCAAGGCTGTGCAGGAAAAACTAGGCATGCCCAAAATAGGCATTTCTAGATTACGAGTATAGATGGGTATTCAGAGCTGCCTTTCCTGTCACTATTCCTCTAAAATGCTCTTCCCATGCTTTCCCAACCATGAAATGCAAGTTTTTCATACTCTTGAGCCACCTAAAAAATTGATTTTTCATAACACCAGGTCAATTAGAATGAACTTCCCACAATTCAAAACACACCTGACATGAACTTTTTTGGGTCTGGGGCCACTAAACACAGTTCTTTTGTTCAGGGATATGACTGATGACACTTAAATCAGACTTTGTACATACCAAAGCCATCCAGAATAGATTTCTCATGTTCCATCACAAGCTAGAACAAGGGTTTGCTGGCCCCAAACCCAACCTAATTATGCTTTCTATGACTAAGAACAATCCATAATTCATATTTAACATCCCCAAAATACCAAGAACAAGGTTGTTGTGACTTGGACATATCTATAGCAATTTTTCCATGCGCTTGCGCTGCCTAAAATGACTTTGCATGACATGGAAACAAATAAAATGGACTCTCTTCAACGCAAAAAAAGAAGATAGGAGATTTTTCTTCAAACCGAAACAAAGAACTGTGCTTTCCATCAGTGGATTTTATGTTAGAACCATTCTTAGAAGGCTTTGCTAAACACTGAAAAGCCTAGACATTGTGCTCCCTAACAAAGAAACACAACAATTGGTTTCATACCAGTTTGGGGACCCACACTGAGGTTTCCATGAATCAATGTGATTTCAAGAAACAGCATGATTGTAAGGAAGGAAAAAATATAAGTCTCTGAAGTCATGCATTAAATCAGCTGTTCCCTCAGCAAAGCACACGCCTTAAGAACCTGCTTTCCTGCCTTGGCACCAAGTGTTATTATAAAAATCATATATTTATTCCTGAACATGAGGCGCAATTTAGAAAATTAAGTAGCGAACTCCATTTGAAATCCCACTTTGCATTGGTGTACCTCAATGACTTCTACTGAAATTGCTCTAGATTTTACACCACTGCAAGAGAATCAGGCCCAAAATCTCAAAATATTTCATTTTGTGTTATTTGTAGCTGGAGCATATGTCTGTTGTGGCATGGTCTGAACTACAGTACTAGGGCGAAATTTATCCCTGGTGCAACTCCATGCACTTCAGTACACTTATACCAGAGATGCATTTCTCGTCCATAATTTAAGAATCAGAGTATGCCCAAATGATGACAATATTTTATTCTGGTAGTTGTCAGCATCAAATAACATTAAGAAAGTTTTGACAGCAGCAGCAGTACTAATAAATGGGAACTGTAGGTGCTTAAATAGAGATTTCTCTTGCACAAAGTTGCAACCTAAGTTGTATTTTATTGAGACTTTCCATGTTATTGAAAGGATTTATGACCTACAGATTTTAGCCTTTTCATGGACTGAAGGTGTGTTTGGGGTGAGGCCTTTTCAGACTGAGTCATAACAGATTGGACTGATGAGCAGTGGGCCGATCAAATCCAAAGGTCCATGTAAAGATATTTGTTTCCTTTCTGGAAATGCAGGGTCCTTTTGTATGTTTCAGAATGGTCTGCCAAACTAGAAGCAATACCTAATTTTGAGCTACAGTTATTCTCATATATATTGACAACCCCTGACCTAACAGTTACATGTACACAGGCTCATATACATCTTCAGGAGGCACAGCAGTTTCATCTGACATCATAATGTTCTTCTGTTTACTACTGCAAGTCCCCAAGAGTAATGCAACATATACCTTTCCCTCTGAAACAAAGAGCTTTATTCCTTATTTTTACAGTACTCTCAGTCTGAAGATTCAAAATTCCATGGTCTCTCATCCAGCCTAAATTTCCCACTTTCCCTATCAGCCGAATCATCATGCAAATCTGCACTCCTTATTTTCCACTAATTTGTGTTTAGCTTGTACTTTCCTTATTTTCACTACCTTTTTACTGACTCAAATAAGATCACCTGGGACCTGGCTTATATAGTTGCTATAAATCCAGTATACACAGGAATCCATATGTTCTTAAGCTGTTACTGACACCTGTTAAGAAAGCACTTTCTTTTGGTTGATTTTTATGGTATTTATAGTAATGCCCATCCTTATTACTAACATTTCCTCTTTATAGGCTTTTTTTTAAAAATTGTTTACATAGAATAGCAAGAATGAAATACAGTTTCTTACTTATAGTGAATTTCTATGAATAAAAATTATTTGGGTATTACACTTTAAAACTTAGCTGAATTTAATGTCAGCACACTAAATAGGACCTCTGCTTAATGCCGCTTCAAAAAGTTGGTGAAATCTGTTCAGGATTTTATGCTAGGAATCTAATGCTTATCTGTGGCCGGGCAGAATGCAGTGTTTTCTGCTGTACCCTCGATAATATTAACGTATTTTTAAATAAGCAATTCTACTTAGTGGTGTTTGCATTGGAGGATAAGTAGAGGATCTTCTTGGCTGATATGACCCACACAATAACCATGAGGGCAAAAATTGACCAACCAGGAAAGTCCTAAACCTAAGGCTCCATTCTGTGCCACATGGTGTTGCTGAAAATTAACCATGCCAGTTTGATACCTGTGTGCAATTTACATTAATTGAGGTTAGTTCTGAGTACTAAAAAAATTACACTTTTCAGCACCAGAACTTTGTCATTCCCTATCCATCATCCCAGAATTCCTCTTTTGGGTTTTGGATTGCCATTGCAAAAATCACACCAACTTACTAGTGTTGTTTAATTCCCTCTATTTCTCACAATGCCTTTTTCCAGATCCCAAAGTGCCCATGTCAATATTGTTCAAGAGTAGTAATTTGGACCTTTCTGGATTCCACAATGCCTTCTCCAAAACTGTTCCACTTTAGTAATGCCCTTCCCAGATAATTCTAGCGCCAAAAATACCTATTTTGAATGCATAGTTTATGTTAGATGATACCTCCCCTATTTCATTTCACGTCCTGAAATATACAGTGGGCCTGATAGTACAGTCCTTGCACACCCACATCTCCAAATGAGGTTAATGGGAGCTTGGGGTGCACAAGGAAGGTAGGACTAGCTTAAACATAAGCGAGAATGGATCAACAAATGCTTTCTTGAGGACAGCCTGGGTCCTGAAGTGTTTATTCTAAATCCCAGAATGCCTACTATGGATCTTAAAGGTTATTTCAAATGCACATGGGTGAAAGCTGTAATTAAGGAAAAAAACACAGCTCCAATAATAGCACATTTAAAAGTTAGCAATTCTTAGTCCTCATCACTGTAGTAGTTGAACATCTTATTACTGCTACAGTCCCTTCAATTACTCAGAATTACATCAATACTGACAAAGTGCATGTATTTATCATGGATTCTGAATGCTGAAGTAACCAGTAAAGAAAATATAAAATACATTGTTATTTCTTGAGGGCATCAGTAGAGCAGACTGGTTTTTTTTAAAAAAACAAAAAGATTATAAAATTTTACTTCACAGTCCTTTTCCAGATCACAGATATTCATAATTAAAAGAATATGGAATTAATGTAACATTAGATGGTTAGCCATCAGCATCACACACACACAAAAACCAATAAAATGAGATGCAGAATTCACTTTTCCAATGATTGTCATTGAACTACTACATTAGTAAACATTCACAGTATGAAGTCTCTTTCAATATATCTCCAGCATAAAAAGTAGTGCAAAAAAGCATTCCAGTCACTTTGCCACTGCATTCAGACCATGTTAAATGATTATCTTACTTCATTTCTTCCATGTATTAGACAACAAATGCTGCAATGCCTCCAAAGAGAGTTATAAAAATAAACAATTTCTGGAGGTCAGCAGCCTTTTCAAAGTTATTTTCCAATTAAAAATAAGCATTAGATATTTCAAGATAAAATTTAGACCTATGTTCTGTGGGAAAATTTTGGTTTTTACAATAATTTTTACTGCTTTGAAGAGCACAACTATGAAATCCAATGATTTATGGTAACAGCTATTAAAGCACTGATAAATGGATAATGACTGCTGAACTTCATTGTTTCTTACATAGTAAATACCTCTGAATGCCAACTTTTACCACTGAGATCTTATTAGTGATGTCAACAGTTCACAGACCCTATTTAAAACTGTCTTGGTTTTAATGATTTCTTCCCCTCATGTGCAAAACGCTTGCATTCTAATAAAAATATAAAGTTTGAAATTACATCAGCTCAAACCACCTCTTCCACAAGGTATATAATTTACTTGATATGTAATACAAGTTTAGCAACACTATTTTTTATTTGTATTTAACCAATAAAGTGCATACTATTGTATGCTTGAGACTTTTGTTTGCATATTTCATTTTTATCACTGCACTCTTTAATGCATAAATATATTTGGAAACTTTCAATATTACACATCAGTTTCCACAGATTTTGAATTTACACAGTTTTTCTTCTCTGTCTCACTGTCATTCCCTGTGTCCTGACATTTTTTTTCCTTTACACAAAGAGACTCTTTAACTCCTTCTTCCATCTCCAAATACTCTGATTTACCCTCTGTGGAAGAAGATGATGAGCTTCTAAATTTCTTCAGTAAATTTGTTGGGAGGTATGGACAACTGACTGCATTTTGCGTCAGTTGTGTTTGTTCTTCATTCTCAGTCTCTCTGTGATAGAAATAGTTAAAATTGGAGACAATCACTGGCACTGGTAAAGCAATGGTTAACACACCCGCGATGGCACACAGGGACCCGACTATTTTCCCACCCACAGTTATGGGTTTCATGTCCCCATAACCAACTGTGGTCATGGTCACTACAGCCCACCAAAAGGCATCTGGGATGCTTTGAAAATGAGTGGAAGGTTCATCAGCTTCTGCAAAGTAAACAGCACTGGAAAACAAAATGACTCCAATAAAAAGAAAGAAGATGAGGAGCCCCAGCTCCCTCATGCTGGCTCTGAGCGTATGACCTAGGATCTGCAAACCCTTAGAGTGTCTGGAGAGCTTGAAGATGCGAAACACCCTGACCAGACGGATGATCCTCAGGATAGCAAAAGACATGGCCTGTTGACCATTACTGCCCTGCTGCTGGGCCAGCTCAGTGCCCAGGGTGATGAAGTAAGGCAAGATGGAGACAATGTCTATGATGTTCATGATGTTCTTGATGAAGACCGCTTTGCTGGGGCAGGCAAACCATCTCACTGTAAACTCAAAGGAGAACCAGATGATGCAGACTGTCTCCACAATGAAAAATGGGTCATTGAAGATAGTGTGCCCCCCACCATCCAGGTGCAGAGTCTCATTGAAAAGCCCCTTCCCCAAGCCCAGGGACAATATGAGCTCCTTGTTGTCTCTGAATTCTGGCAAAGTCTCCAGACAGAAGATGACGATGGAGATCAAGATGACCAAGACAGAGACAATGGCAATGCCCCTGGCTGCACTGGAACTCTCTGGGTACTCAAACAGCAGCCAGATCTGCTTCTTGAACTCATTGTCGGGCAAAGCCTTATCCTCTTCCTCTTTGACGAACCCTTCATCCTCCCTGAACTTAAGCATGGCCTCCTCCCCAAGCTGATAGAATTTCACTTCCTCAGTGAAGATATCAAAGGGCACGTTGACTGGCCTCTTCAGACGGCCCCCAGACTGGTAGTAGTACAGGATGGCATCAAAGCTGGGCCGGTTCCTATCGAAGAAGTACTCATTCCTGAGTGGGTCGAAGTACCTGCCCCGCTTCGCCGGATCACCCAGCAATGTCTCGGGGAACTGAGCCAAGGTCTTCAGCTGAGTCTCAAACCGCAGTCCTGACACATTGATCACTACCCGTTCGCAGCACTCATACTCGCTATAGCGTACTGTGCTGTAGCCCCCAGGGCCGCCACCACCACCATCATCAGGTGGTTGGTCCAAATATGAAAACTCATCCACATCATCCTCATCACTGTAGAAGAACTTTCCTTCCTCCTCATCCTCTTCATCCTCCCCCTCATCCTCCTCTTCCTCCTCACTCAAGTCCTTCAGTATCTTCTCTTCAGAGCCACTGAGAGGCAGCAGCTCAGAACACGGGAAGGATGCCCCACAATCCCTGCTACCCAGATAGTGGCTCCTCTTTCTTCCTCGTTTCCTCCTTCTACTGTTCTGACGCTGAAGCAAACTGCTGTGTGATCCATTCCCATTGTGAGAAGAGGAAGCCCCCCCACTCTGTACCTGGTGGTAGTGGTGATAGGATCCACCTCCTAATGAGGCCCCACCTTCTACTGCCGCCGTTGCCGCTGCCACAGCCGCAGCTGCCGCTGCCCTCGAGTGTGCCAGTCGTTCTCTCTCCCGAGCCCGAGCCTGGACGGCATATCCATAGGGCATGTGGCTGTTGCAGCCAGAGCTATCTGCACTCACCATTGCAACCTCCATTTTGTAATTGTTTATTTGTTTAATACAAAATAGTCTGGGATATCTGTAGTCACACCTTGACTTCTATGAGGGGAAGTTCAAAGCCATTTGCATTTGGAGGACAGTTTCTTGGAAGCACAGCACATCATGGTATTAGTAAAACTGAATTTGTGTTTTGCATTTTCTTATCATCCAGGATGTATGACACAAATAACTGTGTTTTGCTATCAAAAAAATAAAAGATGCAGCCTTCAGATTTGATCTCAGAAAGAGTCTAGGTCTTGTCCTTTCATCCACCAAGCCTCTTTATTTTTATTACACTCCAGTGGCCTATCCAGAATCCACACATCTGTTCAAATTCATGATTTTGTTGTAGACTCCAAAACTGCACCCAGCAAGGAGCAAATGTTAATACAAAGCAAGGAGGTAACTGTCCTGTTGTTTTCTTGATACAGAAAAGTTTCAGGTCTTTAGTTTATCATTGTAACCAAATTCAAATAGTCTCTTTTCTCGTTTGCTCCAAGCAATGCTTTGGCCTAGCAATATGATTACTGATTAATAATAATATTGAGGGAGTTGAAGTAACTTCCAGACATCATTTTGTTTACACAGTGAGGAGGTCTTTGCAAGCCCTCTTTCTTCAGCCTGTCAACAGTGTCTCAAACCTTGGAGCAGCACCCAGGGCAGTAGCTGCAGTGGCAAGAGAAGGAGGAGGAGAAGGCTGCAACACTGGCTCTGAGGTCTCCATAGGGGACAAGGGAGAGGATCACCCTTTGGTTATGCTCATGCAGAAGAAGTACTTAACCTGAGGCACATGCACACACACATACACACAAAAATAACAAAGAAAACAAAAAGGTTTAGAAAAGGTTGGTTCATTTTCCTAAGAGGCCACAGTGTAGGTCAAGTGCAAATTGTGTCATTTATTAAGGTGTTCAGACATCCACTATCCACATTTATACATCTCACACACACAAATACACACACACTCCATACACCCATAGATTTTATATGACTTTGTGTATGGATATGGGTGTGTGCATATATACATATAAGTGCACTTAAGTATATAATTGTTTTCTCTTTCAAACTCTAGGAGAGAGAGCAAAATCCATATAAATACTACTGTATATGGCATTCAAATGTTGCAAGACTTTATATATATATTAATATATATGTATAAAATCTTACATACATATATATCAAATGTTACACAAAGAGACATATATACAGAATAGCTTTTGATATATATTTGGAACTTAATTAGAAGCTAGAATGATACAGTATATTCTAAATCTAACTTATGTTTTAGTCATACTGCATGTTTTACTAAATTTTCACTTAGTAACAGGTACATACCTGGGCATATTAAGTGACGAACATCCATACTTGTATGACAAAAAAATACAAACTGTAGCTTCCATGGAGCAACAACACACACACACACACACACACACACACCTAAGAAACGGCACCCTCATTTATAGCTACCTGTTTATTAATATACTACAGAAAGAAAAATGCTATTATACTTACTGTTCCTAGGCAGAGAAATAGCAACGTTCTTCTCGCTCGTCCAAGGATCTGGAGAAAGAGCTCTCGAGGAGGGGACTGTAATAAGCAATCTAGGTTTGCAGGTGTAGGGACCGCCAAAACTACAGGTTGATGACTTATTTTTCTCGCTTCCCTTTATATGCAACCAGACCTCCTGGAGGGAGCCAGACGGATAGCCCGGCTCTGGAGAATTCTGGTCAGCGACGATCACTTCTTAGCCCAGATCTTAGCAAAACAACAACAATCAAGAATCTTGCTCCAGAAAAAAAGAGGATTCGTGTGTGTGTGTGCGCGCGCGCGGGGAGTGCACGTATGTGTGTGTGTGTGTGTGATCACTAGTCTTCCCAACACCGGCGCTTGCTGTAGGGTTTGTGAATCAACGGGAAATAATCCCTGTACCAAGCCCGGCTCTGGCTATTGATAAAAGGATGCGTCCTGCGTGTGGCAATTTCCCTCTCACGCCCGTTTACACTGCAGCTGATCGACCCGCAGTCCAGCTACCAGTCACGCTCTCAGCATCCACTTGTTGTTGCTGATGTTATTTCTAGGGCGATGGGGGGGAGAAGGGGAGTGATGCAATGAAAATAAATACAGTAAAAACCAACAGCGAGATTTTCACTCCCGGGTTTTAAAGCCCCCCCGCAGCAATCAAGGGAACTCTGTGATCAGTTAGTTGCTGGAGCAAGAACTGTTGCTCTCTCCCGCTCTCTACCCCCCTTTGTCAGTCTTCTGCCCAATTCTCAACTGTGTTTACGTACCACTGAAGGACGAACGCCTGGTCTGATTTATTCCCTGGGCTTTCCAGCCCTCGATCAGCCCCTAGCGGCCACAGGCCCCTTTGCACGCATTAAGGTATTTGCAACCCCCCTTTGGCATTGTCTCTTTTTGTATTAATATATTAATTATTGAAAGAAATATTCCAGAGCTGAATAATACATACGTTGGCTAATAAAACTTAGCTTTCAGGTCAATGCTCAAGGCTGTCTTTTTATTTTTTTTTTTTTTTTAAGAAAGAAAATCCCTGCTGCTCAGGAGGCACTGGGAATTTCAAAATGAATCAGAGAATAAGTGTCACACACATTATCAGGTAAAAGCTGGATCTAACTGTCTCCTTCTGATTTTTGGCCCTGATCTCCCAATCTGCAGCATCATAATAGAGAACCAGTCTTACTGCTCCTACTGGAGCAAAAAAGAAATCCAATCCGCAATGCACCCTGGAGTAGGAACGCTGCAAAATCCTGGATCTGGTACCAGGATCCTGCCAAACTTCAGCCCCAAATTCTAATGCTTATAAAGAGAAATAAGTCTGGCTGCTCCTAATGCATGAAAAATCATCACCGGGGTACATCACCTATGAGCACCACAAAACCAAAATCTGGCTTATGGATCCTACCAGATCCATCCAATTTTAGCCCTTACCTGCCTCCAAAAAAAAATTCCATAGCATGAATAAGAAACAAGTGTAGCTGCTCCTACCCCACCCAAAACCGGACACATGGTAGAATTTGGTGGCTTGGGGTCAAATATGTCCAAGATCCAGCTGGAGCCAGATACCAGATCCACGTTTTCGCAGCATTGATGAACGGGGGGAGGGGGTGAAATCTAATTTGAAAACAAGTGTAACCACTCCTACTTCACTGGAAAAAAAATCTGGATCCTAATGCATCCCAGCTCGATAGCTTGGAAAAAACACATAACTGGCACCTGGATCTAACCAAATTTAACCCCAGTCAAACAAAATAGAGGGGAAGGGGATAAAAGCTCCTAGTGCACCTAAAAAATCCAGACCATAATGCAAACTGATGCAGCAGCCCCATAAAATCATGAATCCAACACCTGGATCCTGCTGAATCCAGCTTTCTTTCTTTCTTCCAAACCTAAATGCCTACCAGCTAAATAGAGGAGTGTGGCTGTGTCACATCCACTGCAAAAATCCACATCCTAATGCATCCCTCCATAACACTTCAATTCAAAGATCCAGACTTGGAGTCTGTAGGACCCTATCATTTCTTAGTCCCAAACCCCCAAATTGTGCCTTCAAAATAGATGGGATGTGTCAGGGTCCAGTATTTTTTCGTGCTGTAGGAGCAGTTACACTTGTTCTCTATTCTTGATGTGGAGAACCGAACAATATCTGTAGTATTTGTATGAATATGGTGCATGCCTCTGTGTGTTTGTGTATGACGGGTTACTTACGATGGAGTTAGATCAAAAAGGATTGTTAAAAAAACCAATGAGGAAAGGCAACACAATGACATAGATAAAGAATCCTGGAGAAAACAATGGGGAAACTGTTGATTGGAGAATCCCTCTTAACTGAGTCCATCCAGGCTAGCAGAATTTACTCTTCCCAGGGCTAAGCCTAGGATCAAAGGAGAATACTAAACCATGACAGAGCCCTGAACCTAGAAAAGGGAGATGGGATGAGTGAGTTGAGAAAGGCTGACCAAGGAGTGTCAGAGAGCACTGACCAGGAAGCAACTTGCATCCTGATCAGAACTATCAGGCAAGGAAACACCCAGGCTGATGGAGAGTGAGGGGCTGCAGCAAGCAAGATGTAACTGGGTACCCAAGAAAATGAGGAGAGGGGCATCAAGGCTAAGTCATGTCTACCTAGAAGTTTGAGAGGCATTCTCAAGTATAGGTAACTCAGGATGCATATACATCTCTTATATATACACACTTCTCTGAGAGCTGTGAACCTTTTGGCAAATTAATCATACTTTGTTTAGAAGAAGCTGCCTCTGTGTCACTGCAAACTTACTGGTCACGGATTCCCAAAGGGAAACTCTTGCAGGTGCCAGGTCCATTGGGCCTGCTAGGTATTATGGTTGGCAACCAGCAGTGTATAACCCAGAATCCCAGTTGGAGACAGGGTCCCATCCCAAAAAGAAGGGGAGCCAAGGGCCTGTCACTTGAAGGGGACTGAAAAAGGATCTCCAAAGGGGCAGCTTACCCAGGGACTATGACACAGGCCATGGAATTTGGAGAGTGAGGGCCAAAAATTGGATGGAGCTGGCAGGCTCCACGTGCCAAATCTGGGTTTTTGGTGCTTTCCTGACCTGGGGTGCACAGAAGGAAGAAAAAGGAGACTAGAACAAAAATAGCCCCAGTGGTTCATTTTTGTTCTTGGAGATTTCTCTGTTTATTTTTCTTGGGTTCTTTTTAGGCTCATGATCAGGGAGATTCTTCAAAACAACAATATTAGAAGAAGGAATATTAAACTATTAGACGAATGGGCAGTGTGGGAGGATGGATAGCCCTGTGGTTAAGGCACTAGGTAGGGACTCAGGAGACCTGGCTTCACCCCTAGTTGTGTCACAAGCTTTCTGGGTCACACGGGGCAGATCACTTCATTTCTCTGTGCTTCAATTCCCCAGCTGTAAAATGGGGGTAATTATAGTTCCTTTCTCCCACATTTTGTCTCTCTAGACTGTTTTGACTGGAAGATTTTGGAGCAGGGACTGCCCCTTTCTCTGTATTTGTCCAGTGCCCAACACAATGGGGCCCAGTCTTATTGCAGCCCCTAGGATTTACTGTAAATAAAAATGAACCAAACTCACAAAATTATTTGCATTG